TACCTAAATTTGATACAATAGGGTGGAAAGGAATACCACTTTTCCAAAATAAATATTACAAGCAAACTGAGGGATTAGCCATGGGAAGCCCCCTCAGTCCCATCCTGGCTGATATCTACATGCATTATTTTGAATCAAAATTATTTGAAACTTTAAACTTCCCGGCATGGTTCCGCTACGTAGACGATACTTTTACCCTGTTTGAAGGTAATAAAGATGATTTAAATAGAGTTCTTTCAACAATGAATTCTATTGATCCTGCTATTCAGTTCACTTTTGAACTTGAGACTTGCAATTCTCTTCCATTTCTCGACATTCTGGTCACACGTAACACATCCAACTTCAGTACTACAGTTTACCATAAACCTTCATCGGTTTGCCTTCCACCACACTTTAAATCATGTCATCCGACTAAACAAAAGTTAGCTTCATTTTATTCCTATGTTTTCCGTGCTCTTCAAGTTTGCTCCTCCAAACTAGCCCTTGATGAAGAACTAAATTATTTAAAAGCAATAGCTTTGACAGGGGCTTTTCACCCAACATTATTAATCAAGCAGTTAAAAAATTCTCATCTCAACACACTAAAAGCCACACTCTTATTTTAGGAGATTATAAAAATTCTGTTGTCATTCCCTTCTTTCCATCAATTAGCTATAAAGTTGCACATATTTTGCAGAAATTTAACTTTCGGGTTGTTTACTTCTCCCATCAATAAAATTCCAACTTCTATACTCAAGGACCCCATTCCGGATATGAATTCCTGGGGTATTTATAGGATTCCTTGCCAGTGCGGTTTAATTTTACATTGGCCAAACTAAGAGAGCCTTAAAATTTTGCGTCAAAGAACATGAGGCATATGTTAGAAAAAAAGGAACACAGAAGTCTTCTGCTGCTCAACATTGTTGGTCTGAAAATCACACTTTCAATTTTTCTGCTACCAAAATTATTCAAAAAAACATCTTCCATTGGAGAACTGGATTTTCTAGAGGCATTTTTAAACCAATCTTTGCTTTTATAAAAATGCTCCTGTTCTGATTTTTGTTGTTTTTGACTTCTGATTAGTATTTAATGTGAAATTGTTACCATTTTCGTGAAATTTTTCTAATTTATGAGAAAAAAGCAACAATGGATTAGTGAACAAAATTTCTGGGATTTTTTTTTTTTCACCTTCTGTTCTAGTTACCGATCCTTAATTCCAATCCAAATTGCTTTCGGCTTTTAGAGAAATTATGTTTTAGTTCTGGTTTCGCCAACAGATGGCGCCCACTTGCTTATTCTTGTCCAGGCTTTCTTATCTTATCTAAACATTATTTGCTATCTGTTCATTTGCGGTTTTGCAGCTGAAGATGATGGGTTCGGTTAAAACCATCGAAACTAGTCCTGTGAAAATTTTGTAAATTAACGCTGATTTTTGTTGTTTGACTTCTGAATTAGTATTTATTCGGCGTGTTATTGTGTCTTAATTATTCAGAAAATTGTTATGCATTTTCGTGAAATTTTTCTAATTTATGAGAAAAAAGCAGTGTACATGGATATAGTGAACAGTGTGCGCAATGCCATTTTTGTGCAATTCTGGGATGTTTTTTTAAGTAAAAATAAGTCGACGTGTACATGGTTTAGAGATATTTTAATTAAATGATAGTTATTTTTGTGAATTTTTATGTTTGTAGGAATTTGGTATACGTTTAAGTTGAAGTAAACGTGCATGGAAATAATTTAAATATTTGACACTAAGTATTTGTAATGCTTTGCGGTATGAATTCGTTGGTGCATGTATAATAAATAGATGATTTAGAGGTAAAAGTTTTTGGATATTTTATTTATTTTATATGTGGAAATGTTCATATTTGGAAAGGGTATAAACTTTTTCGCGATCAGGTAATTTCATATATGTTCTTTTTACCGGGTTTAAAGATTCAGAAAATTGTAATGTATTTTCGTGAAATTTTTCTAATTTATGAGAAAAAAGCAGTGTACATAAATATAGTGAAGAGTGTGCGCAATGCCATTTTTGTGCAATTCTGGGATGTTTTTTCAAGTAAAAATAAGTCGACGTGAACATGGTTTAGTGATATTTTAATTAAATGACAGTTATTTTGTGAATTTTATGTTTGTAGGAATTTGGTATACGTTTAAGTTGAAGTAAACGTCATGGAAATAATTTAAATATTTGACACTAAGTATTTAATGCTTGCGGTATGAATTCGTTGATGACGTGTATAATATAATAGATGATTTAGAGGTAAAAGTTTTTGGATATTTTATTTATTTTATATGTGGAAATGTTCATCTTGGAAAGGGTATAAACTTTTTCGCGATCAGGTAATTTCATATATGTTCTTTTTACCGGGTTTAAAGATTCAGAAAATTGTCATGTATTTTCGTGAAATTTTTCTAATTTTTGAGAAAAAAGCAGTGTACATGGATATAGTGAAGAGTGTGCGCAATGCCATTTTTGTGTAATTCTGGGATTTTTTTTAAGTAAAAATAAGTCGGCGTGTACATGGTTTATGTGTATGTGTTATTTTTAAAAAACGCGTAAGGAGTATGGTATTGTGCACTTTTTCCCAATTTTGCAGTGAATATTTGTCATGATTAAGCAGTTTTGTTAGATAAAATTTCTAGCATAAGTGTAATTCGGCTAGTAGATTGTTGGAAGAAGTGTTCAGTAGATAAAAAGAAAAGAAACATGTCTTTACTTCGTGAAGACAAAATGGCGACGGGAAAAAAAAAATAGAGGGTTGCTGTAGGAGAGTTGGTCGGCAAATTTTCGCCAAAAAAACGGAAAGTTACCATAATGTAAAGATCAACCAGAAGTCCTTCTCAAACTTTGAACATGTGATGAATGTTGTTGTAAAAGTGGTTAATTTCATTCGGTCTAAAGAACTTAATCACAGGCAATTTCAACAGTTCTTGAGTGATTTGGAAGCCGAATATGGTGATGTTGTGTAATACACAGGATTATGTTGGTTGAGCAGATGTTTCAGTGCCTGTTTTCTTTCAAGAGCAAAGTTCAACAATTCATGGAATCTAAAGGGAAATCCATTCATGACTTCAGTGATGAGAAACGGTTGGCAGACTTTGCATTTCTTGTCAATATTACAGGTAATCTCAATGATTTGAACTACTGCTCACTGGGAAAAGATCTACTTGTTCATAATCATTATTATTTTGTGAAAGCTTTTGATATAAAATTAATCCTGTGGGAAAGTAAGTTGCTATATAAGAATTCCACTCACTTTCCAAAATTGATGGAGCGTGTGAAGAACTCTACACGCCATTTTCAGTAGATGTTGGAAGTGTTCCACCTGAACTTCAGTTACAATTTACAGATTTACAGTGTGACTCTGCAGTAAAATGCAAGTTTCTTGAAAATCCTACATTAATTGATTTTTAATCAATTAATGTAGGATATCAATTAATGTATATTGAAGTATGTGACCAGTACAAGTATCCAGGAATTCGTAAACAAACACTCTTCATGTCTTCTATTTTTGGCAGTACCTACATATGTGAACAGATTTTTAGTAAAATGAAAATCCTAAAATCAAAAACAAGAACACGATGGACAAAAACACCCTTGGAGGAAACTTTACAAATTGCAACAACACAGATTAAACCAGATATTGAAGCTTTAATTAAACAAAAACAATGTCAAATATCACAGTAAAACTAAAGTAACTACCATCTCCCGCCAGTAATATAAGTTTTTTTTTTTTTTTTTGTAAATGCATTTTGTAACATCGTTCTGTACAATCAATCATCTTTATCCTTTTTCTAATAGTTAAAAAAAGTTGCAAAACATTTTAATTCAATTTCCATTTGACTTTTTGGAACAAATTTATATATATACAAATCTGTAACACTATCTCTTCGCTTAGAATCAATTGTAAATTTTCAAAACAAACCTCCCTTTTTTTTATATAAATTTTCTGACTACACTATTTTTTGACAGACATGTGGCCTGCGGATCTTTGTGAATTTATTGATGTTTCCCTCGGGCATGAAAGGTTGAAGACCCCTACTCTAAAGCATGGGTTCTCAAACTTTTTCAGGCTCCTCACCCTTTAAACAATTTTAACATGCTCTCCTCACGCAAAACCTAAAGTAGTTTCTAAAAAACGGTGGGGGGGGGGAAGAAAGGAAGTTTTCTATTCAACCTAAAAAGATAGATCAAATTGATTGGAAGAAAAATAACTATAGATAAGTAATATAACAGAAGTATACTCGCAATTTTTTACAAATAGAAGAGAAATCAGCCGGGCGCAAACACAGAATCACCACAGAATGCATTCAGAATGAGCTAGCATATACATACAAAGTTTCAAAGTGTAACTGACGGTAACAATCAGAATCACTACAGAAAGCACTTAGAATTATTGCAAAATGTGACTGATGACATGTTTCCTGCAATCTACACATGTTTTGCACATGCATCAATGCCATGTGTGTAATTTTTAAACAATTATTTAATTTATTTTTTAAAAATTCAATTTTTATCTCACACCCGCTAGATACTCCCACACCCATTTGGAAACCCCCTACTCTAAAAAATCTCACACAATGGAATTTAGCTTCAATAACACTCAATGTTTAATATCCAAGCAAACAGAAAAAATGAAATATTCTCAATATGGAAGCAAACTTTTCAACTGCAACTCTAAGAAGGAAACTACCAGCTATCCAAGTAAGCCATACAGCGCTGGATCTTTGATTTTTCTGATGTGGGACAAAAGCTAAAACTGCCGCCTATATTATTATAAGGGTACACTTTTACCTTTCAGAAACTATTTATTTACAATCTTAGAATGTATAATCACAGAGAACTCCAATACCAGCATAGTTCTATTTTTTATATCCGTGTCCAAAGTGTTGCCAATTACAAGTTACTAAATATTAAATGTTACCATTTACAAATTATTAAATGTTACCATTTACAAATTATTAAACATTACATCTTCCGTTTTTTTAAAGAATTCAAACGTTTTAACAGTCTAAAATCAGTCCAAATTTCTATTTCTTCTCAATACTGATCCACCTGATCTAAGTATATATGATCTAGGCATCTTATGCACTTCTTCTACAACTGCTGGTTTCCAGCGATTATCTTGATATACCCGAACACAATCTCTTTTATTTAGCGATGGTAATGTTTCTGTATGATGATCATAACATGACTTCTGTTTAGTTCTCTCTTGGTTGATTTTTTCTTTTACATTTTTCACAACTTGAGGTTTAAGTAATTCTTCAGATGTAGGAAGAATCGTTCTTGTTCTTCTACTCATAAGTCGTTGAGCTGGTGATCCTAGCATCTCATTAGTTGGAGTGTTCCTATGAGCTAACAATGCTAAATAAGGATCAGCATGATCTGCTTGAGCTTTCTTTAACAATTTCTTCGCTGTTTGTACTGAACGCTCTGCTAATCCGTTCGACTGTGGATGGTATGGACTGCTTGTTATATGTTTAAATTGGTATTTCTTTGCAAACTCTGCAAATTCTTTACTTGCAAACTGAGGTCCATTATCAGATATCACTATTAATGGTATACCGTATCTTGCAAAATGAGATTTCATGTAACTGATCAATGTCTGACTTTGAGTATCCGGTTGTTTGGAGATTTCAAAAAAGTTGGAATAGTAATTACAATTAATAAATATACATCTTTGTTAATCTCAAATAAATCTGTCGCAACTTTATACCAGTTATTGGGAATTTCATGTGGTATCATAGGCTCTCTTATGTTTTTGTTCTGGTATTCATTACATATAAAACATTTTGAAATTTTATCTTCTATCTGCTTGTTCATAAGTGGCCAAAACAAAACATCTCTAGCTCTTTTCCTACATTTTTCTATACCAAACTGACCCTCATGAATTAAATTTAACATTTCCTTTTGCATAGATAAAGGAATAATTACCCTTCCTCCTTTGAAAAATAAGTCATTTTCCATTGTCAACTCATCTCTGTAGTCCCAAAATACTTTGACTTGAGGTTCTACCTGATGTTTCCTTTCTGGCCAGCCTCTTAGAATAGATTTCTTTAAGCACTGTAGTGTAGCATCACATTCACTTTCTTTCTTCAATTCATAAATTTTGTCATCAGATGCTGGAATCAGTGTACAAATTTCTATATATCTTCATCATTATCTTCATCTGTTGTATTCAAATATGCTCTACTCAAAGTGTCTGCTATTAATAAGTCTTTCCCCTTTTTGTATCGTACATCTAGATCATATTTTTGTAAACTTAACAGCATTCTTTGCAATCACTGAGCAGCTTTAAAAAGAGGTTTCTTAGTTATGCTTTCTAATGGTCGATGATCAGTTTCAACAACTGTAATACGTTTGCCATATATATATTGATGAAATTTAGAACATCCAAAAGTAATAGCTAAAAGCTCTTTTTCTATCTGAGCATAATTTTTCTGACTTTTTGTTAGAGCCCTGGAAGCATAAGCAATTGGTTGGTTTTCTTGTAGTAAAACAGCACCTAATTCTTCAGAATTTGCATCTACTGAAAGAGTTGCATCCTTATTAACATCATAGAATTTTAATACGGGTGCTTTTGCAATCAATTCTTTAAGTGTTTCGAAAGCTTTTTGATGCTTTTCAGTCCAGTGCCGCAGTAATAGTAGTTAAGTTAGGAATAAATTTGGCTAAATAATTAATCATTTCCAAAAATCTTTGTAGCGAAGGCACATCTGTAGGTTCTGGCATTTTAACAATTGCTTCCACTTTAGAAAAATCAGGTTTTAGTCCATTTTCACTTAACTCGTGCCCTATATAATTCACACGATTAACTTTTATTTTACATTTAGCCTTATTGAACTTCAAATTTTTTTCTCGTGCTCTCTGGAGTACTTTTTTAAGTCTTAGTTCATGTTCCTTTTCATTAGATCCCCATATTAAGATATCATCTATAATACATTCAGCGCCTTCTAGACCTTCTATTATTTGGCTTAATTTTTTTTGGCAAATTTCTGGAGCTGAACATATGCCAAAAGGTAACCTTTTAAATTTGTATCTGCCAAAAGGTGTATTGAATGTATGCAAATTACTACTTTCTTCGTCAAGCTGGATTTGCCAAAAAGCACTATTAGCATCTAAAACAGAAAATATTTTTGCGTTAGGCATTCTAGTGACAACTTCGTCAATGGTTAACATCGGATAATGTTCTCGTTTTATAGCTTTATTTAAATCTCTAGGATCTAAACATATTCTTATTTTGTTCGGTTTGACAACTGTGACCATTGAATTTACCCATTCAGTTGGTTCTCTTACTTTCTCAATAACATTTAAATTTTCCATTCTTTGTAATTCTTTCTTAACTTTATCACGTATAGCTATGGGTATTTTTCTTGGAAGATGAATGACTGGTGTTACATCTTGTTTTAACTGGATTTTATATTCTCCATTCAAACAACCTAAGCCTTCAAATACATCTTTGTATTCCTCCAGTAAGTCTTCAGTGTAAACAGACATTACTTTCTGAATCAAACCTAGTTGCAAACATGATTTTAATCCTAATATAGAAGGTAATTCTTTGTCAATAACTTGGAATTCCACAACATAATTATTTTTTCCATATTGGCAGTTAAGTACTACTGTTCCTAAAGTATCCATTTTATTCCCAGAGAATGTAACTAATCTTTTAATTTCAGACTTCTGTATCGGAACATTTAGCAATTTCACTTTGCTTTTAGAAATAACACTGCACATTGCTCCAGTATCTATCTAACTGCAAATTTAGTTTACTTTTATTTACATTAATGTCAACAGTCCATTTTTCTTCCTTGTTATCTGAACTAAGGTTTAATGTGCAAACATAAAATTCTAACTCTTCCTCAGAGTCATGATTTATTAATTTAATTTTTTTTATCTTTTTTGTTTACCTGGACTGCTTCATTTTTTATTATATAGCTTTTACACTGATTCGCGAAATGATTTGCCTTTTTACATTTATGACAGATTTTTCCATATGCTGGACACATTCGATACTCATGAGATGTTCCACATTTAGAACAAACTTTTGTCTTTTGTTTATCGGTATTTACCTCTTTGTAGGTATTCTTATTATGTTTACTTAGTTTCTTTTCACTAAGTTTACAGCAGTTTCCTCTTCTTTTATGATTTTCATTTGATGTGCACTTATTTCAGCAGATCTGCATATATCAAGAGCTTTTTCTAATGTTAATTCTGTTTCATGTAACAATCTTGCTCTCACTACATCATCTTTAATACCACAAACAATTTTATCCTTTATTAAACTATCCGTTAATTGTGCAAACTCGCATGTTCTAGCTTTATTTCGAAGGTCAGTTACGTATTCATCTATGGTTTCTGATGCAGTTTGATTTCTAGTAAAGGTTTGATTTTCTAGTAAAATGTTAGATTAGAAAGTAACAACTCTGTCATCTTGGACAATGGTCAAGTACAGTTCTAGCACCTTGAGTAACAATTCTGTTTGTCTTGGTGCTAGTGACTGCCACATACTTCTGTGGTGAAGGAGTGGCCAACATTCTGATACTACGTGACTGAGCAGCAGATACTGTGATAGTTTAGAAAGCCACTTTTTGGGCCATCTAATTATTTATAGATCTATCAAGGACATCACAGCTGAGTGCACTCATTATGCTGCTAAGGCACTCAGGTGCCAACAAGGCAATCCTCGTTTGCATACTGCAGGACTTCCTTACAATATCTTTGTGGGCATAAAATCCTTTCATTGTCATACCAGCCATTTGGGAATATCACTGATTTAGCTGAGCAGTTGCAAAATTCATAGTAGAATCTTCTGCATAGGAATAAAAAACTTAATTATATACCACATTGAATATTGGGTTGTATAGTTGCCATGAGTTAGATTTATCATGCTATACTTAAAATGCAATCAAATAGTCATGATCATTTCTTAATGAAACTTTTTTTCCCATTCTTCCTCAAAAATTACAATCATTTGCATATTTCCTCAAATGATAACGTTCATGCTAAGTTTAATGACTGTAATTCAGCTTTTTATGAGTGCAAATCTAATCCTCCCAATATATGTGCTGGTGTGCTTATTTTTATTCTGCATTAATTTTTTTAAATTAAACTACCAAATACCCACACGAGTTTATTCTCAAACTTTAGTTCTTTACAGTTTAGAACTACTGGCGGTTATGCACATTGTTTCAATGGTGCAATATTTACAGGGAAACATTGACACTTGAAGTATCTATTCTAAGTGCATTATTCTGAGTACAGTGTATATTTACACATAGTTTCATTCAACACCCATGAATTAGTATTCAAAAATGGAGCTATATCAAGCAGCAATGTAAAAAGGAAGGACTCCATTTCACATTAAATGTTGTTTTTGTAATTCGCTTCTTTAAAGATGCATTGACAAGGGAGGCAAAATTTTACAGTATTCCATACAATTATATATAAAAAACTTTCCTTCCAGTAAAAAATAAAAAAATTATGTGACACCAAAAATAGAACCAGAAACTTTGCTTTACTTTGGAAAGTTAGACACCACCCTAAAAATCATAAAAATATGTGACGGAACAGCATGCACAGCATAAAAACTGCAGTCAAGATACAGAAATAATATTGTTGTGTGTGTGTGCAGGTTCATATTGGTCTGAATGAACACAGAACCAATGAACGCTTGATAGAATTTATTTTCCCAAAAGAAACACTTTACAGTTCCAGAACATTAAACAAAAAAAACCTCATACAGCTTTTCTCAGTATAACAGGTCACAGTCAGTAGTTACCACATTAAACTACTAAGAACATTCAAAGCAATGCTAAGTGCATCTGAAGAGCGAAGCTCGCATAGTGATCTCTCATACTCCGAAGTCTACTCTCAACTGAAAAACTGAGAACTGATGCTCTATCCAGTCTTATGTAGCTTGCACCCCAGCCATTGGGAAAGCCATTGGGAAAATGTGAGTGACTTCCAGTAATTTCCCATTTCTCGAAATTACTGGAAGTCACTCACATTTCTCGAACTTACTATTAATTTCTTTCCCGCTTTCTGGATGGGGAGTTTACAAAGTAACTTCTTGAAATCTTGCCAATCACCAACTTTGTTGATAAAAATTAGTCGCCAAAGCAATTGCCAGTTAGGTGACATCTTGCCAATTTAGCGAGATAGCCGTTTACTTGAATGTTAAATAGACTTGTCCCTGTAACCTTACTTTTCCAGTAGAGTTTCATTTTTCAAGCATTTCACGTTACTTTATAGGAAAGACACTACAATTACATGTATAATTTCATAAAAATTATTTATATATATACAAAATTCATAAAATTCCTCCCTTTCCTAAGTCTGCACACTCTGGGTAGTACAATTCTTGGACAAGAAACCATACTTACAACTAAGGAAAATCAATTCAATACAAAAATAATAATTTCAAAAAATAACACACAACAAATAAAATACTATATAAATTCTTGAATTTACAAATAAGACTATGGTCTTAGTATACTATTCACATTCTACAGCCTATGGGGACTACATACTATGGCCATAGTAAGGAGATAGCCAGTTGTAATGATCAACTTCAGACTTAGAATTTGATGA